AGAAAAAGTTTTCTCTCTATCCTTATGTCTTTTTTTTTTTTTTTTTTTTTTGTCTTTTTTCGTGTCCGGCAATGGATCGCAACCCTCAGTGTCGCGCCCATACCGGACCGGGACCGGCAACGGGATCGCAACCCTCGGTGTTGCGTCCGCACCTCGCTCAGCCAGTGAGCGGGAACCGGTCTGTATGTGGGATCCGAACCCTCGGGCGGGAGCGCCGCCGCGCTTCCCAAGCGGCGCACTATCCAGTGCGCCACCGGGCCGGCCCCAAGAACATTCTATTGATACATGCAACAACATAGATCACAAAAGCATTACACTGAGCGAAAACAGTCAAATGCAAAAGGCTAAATACTGTGATTCCATTTATACGACATTCTGGAAATGGCAAGATTATAGGAACAAATCAATCAGTGGTTGACAGGAACTAGGTGTTCAGAAAAGGGACTGAATAAAAGGGCATGAGGGAACTTTTCAGGGTGACACAAGTGTTCTATACCTTGACTGTAATTGTGTTTGTAAGACTGTATAAATTTGTTAAAACTCATCAAGCTACACACTTAAATTACATCTCAATAAATCTGATTAAATGAAACAGTTTACATGTTAGCACCAAGCTAAAGAGTAAAGAGAGGTTTGCTCTTGGTCATATCTAAGACTTAAATCCTGGGGCTGTTTCAAGAATTAGATTCTGTTCATAGTCCATAAAACTATGCCAAGTCGAATTTGGGATTCCAGAGTCATTCTATCCTCACTGTTATAGTCCTTTCTGACAGGCTTAAGTCTTTGCTAAGACTTATTTATGTATTCTTAAAACACTAACTACAACAAACAAAAATCCTGACTCCTCAGACTGAGTTAGGACCTAAAGAAGACAGGACACAAGAGCAATAAAAGGCCTGTAATCAGCTCAATGTTAACCATTGAGTAGGAAGGCCAGGAACTCTCAGGACAAGAAACTTTCCTGGTGCTGTATCCTTTACCATCTCCTCTCTCCCCTATTACTGGCTGCATGCTTAAGGTCTTCTGTCAACAATAAGAAACTCCTGAACAAACGATGTGAGGATTCGCAGCTGCTGTTTTCATGAGCCACCTCTCACCTCTGTGGTCAATGTCATCAGTATCACTCTCTGCTTCCTCATCCTCTTCATCCAAGGTTCCTCGAGTCAGGATCAATTGAGAAGGGTCCAGCACAGGAGATAAGCTATCTACAGTGAAAACACCTATCAGTACATATGCCTACTCAAAAAGGTGATTTTTAATCAATAAGTAACTATGATTATAAATTGGCAAGATGAATATAAATGCAGGATCTTAACCTCTTCTAAATGTATTGTTAATACTACTTAACATTTCTACAATACTTTAGTTCACAGAGTTCTTTCATGAGCCCAACAGCCCAAGGAGTCCCATTTTTTAAGCTGAGGAAAATAATTTTCAACAAGCTTGCTTTTAGTAGTAGCATGGTTCATTTTTACTAATTCACAGTTGGAAGAGGCTATGGTTTTTCCTACGAAGGCTAAAGACATCTGAGCAGATCCAGAGTGCTGATGAGTCAGGGTTAAAGTGTGGAGTGCTAAGGAAGTTTCCTGGTGGAAATGTAAGTTCAGAGAGGGCCTGAAGAAAGCACAGGGTGGAATGATGTAGAATAGAGGATCCAGGGTATTATTCAAGAAAAGGAGGCAGGAGGAAAAAAGGGAAAATCAAATAATAACAGAAGTAAAATTCCTGAGCTGGCTGGTTAGCTCAGTTGGTTAGAACATGGTGTTGATAACACTAAGGTCCAGGGTTCGGTCCCTATACCGGCCAGCCACCAGAAACAAAACAAAACGAAAAACAACAAAGAAGTAAAATTCCCTATTCAGGGAAACTAGTAAGGGCTGAGTTCCAATAATCAGAAGAAAGTCTAATCAAGTAATTACTGGCAGGATATTCAGCCTGCTGAGGTTAGTTTTATAAGAACCTAAAGCCATAGGAAGACACTACCTCTCTCCATTCAGGGACCTATGAGGCTTGCGAAAGTTCATGTGGGGAATAAGGGTCCAAAGGCAGCAACATCAAGGGGCACAAATCTCAAGGGGAACAAATCTCAAGGGGCCTGTGGCCCTGAGAAACAATGACAGAATGTGCTGACAGTAAATGCTTCATTCTGTGCCTAAGAATTATGCAACTATACTAGTAGTGATTTTCCTCAAATTTACTGAAACTCCCCCAACCTCCAACAGATTATCTGAGCTGAGCAGATCCTTGCAGCAAGAGATTTAACACTTGTCATTTCACATATTCATGACTGATTCTAAAGGACCAAGGCACACAGAAATTTGTGTTGCTGAGGTGTGCAACAAGGATGACACAGGGAAGTTCACTTGACTGGTAAACTAGTTTCCAGCTTTGCTGTTCTCTACTAGACATATAGCAATAGCTTTCATGAACAGAAACTTCACTCCTTTAAGAAAGATGTCCTAGAAAAAAAAATGCTAGTGTTGCTGATGAGAAGAATAAAATTATGTCCAATTTATTACTCAAATAACTTAATAAAATGGAGCATATTATCAAAAAAAGTATATCCAATTTGGTTGCAGCATCCCACTGAGCTGCAAAGACATGCCCACTCGTGTCGAGGGCAGTACATCAATGTGTGGGTAGACGGTTGCGGGTATGTATATTTAGATATGTGCATCAACCCTGTAGAGTCAGTGATAAAACTAACTCAAATAATAAAAAAATTCAGTAAAGTAGCAGGATAAAAAGACTAATATAGGGAAGTCAAAAGCCTTCATATACAAAATCATAAATCAGGTAGAACATATAATGGTTCAGAAAAATCCCATTTTCAACAGTAACGAAGAATTCAGGGAATAAATTTAACAAAACTATGCAAAACCTACATGAAGAAAATTTTAAAACACTCTCAAAAGATACAAGTAGACCTGACAAATATAAAAACATTCCTTGTTCTTGGATAGGAAGACTCAACATCATAGAGATGTCAGTTCTTCCTAAATTAAATAATGAATATAACATAATCCTAATAAAAATACCAAAAAGCTCTTTTAGAGAGCTAGATAAGTTCATACTAAAGTACATGTAGAAAAAGAAACATGCAAGAATAGCTAGGGAAGTATAACTAAGAGGTATCAGGGGGGACTAGCAAATATTGAAACATATGATAAAGCCTCTACATACTTAAAACAACATGATATAGGCCCATAAGTAAATAGTCCAGTGAAATAAAATAGAAAGTTCAGAAATAAACCTAAGTACACATGGAACTTTAGTATATTATGAAAATAGCATCTCAAACCACGAGGCAAAGGTAGACTTTTTAATAGTGAGGGTACAACTATTTATGTAAAGATAACAGATTTGTACCTCATACCATACCCAGGAATAAACTCTAAATGTATCAGGGATCTAAACTTAGAAAAGAAAATCATATAAGTACTACAATAAAACCTGGGTGAATTCCTCTTTAACATAGGTGTAGGTAAAGGCTTTCTAACTATGACTTAAAATACAGATGCAGTAAGAGAGAAGATAAGTAAATCTGACTGCTTCAAAACAAAAAATAAAAACTTTTGCATGGCAAAATAACACCATGAACAAAGTCAAAGAACAACTGACAAACAGGAAGAATACATGTGCAACATGTATCATAGATATATGAATAATATCCCTACCATGTCAATGGATATTAAAATTAATAGGTGAACATTTGAAAACTTAAAGGTTATTTCTATATTCTAAAAGCATCACTCCACAAAATTCTTATTACTAAGTGAAAAATAATAACTTTACAATGAGGAAACCTGGTAGACACCATTTTATGCAAGTAATCAAAGTTAACATCACCAGTAATAGGACAAATCAACATCATTTGCCTATGTGATGCGCTGAAAAAACAAAACTTCCATAAAGTTCTGGCAAAAGTTCATCAATTGAATCAAATCATGAGGAAACACCAGGAAAACCCAAACTGAATGACATTCTATAAAATAACTGTCCTATATGCTTAAAAAATGTCAACGTTGGGCTGGCTGGTGAGCTCACTTGGTTAGAGCATGGTGCTGATAACACCAAGGTCAAGGGTTTGGATCACCCTTACCAGCCAACAAAAAACAAAAAAATTGTCAACGTCGTGAAATACAAAGAAAGACTAAGGAACTGTTCCATACCAAAGGAGACTAAGACACATGAGAATTAAATGCAATGCATATCCAGGATTTTCTCCTGCTCTAAAAGGGCAAATGGCTACATACAAATAAGGTCTATATATAAGATAATAGTATTGTGTCAATGTTAATTTCCCGATTTCTTGATAACTGCAATCAGGTTATATAAAATAAAATCTTTTCCTTATTTTCAGGAAACAGACACTGAAGTATTCAAGGTAAAGGAGGAGCATATCTGTAACTTACTCTTAAATGATTCAGGAAAAAATAATATATATTTACCTAATATATAAAGTCATATATATACCACATACAGAAAGAGAGAGAGAAAGGAGAGAGAGAGGGAAAAAGGGAGGGAAGGAGAAAGGAAGACGTAACTATGGTAGAATGTTAACATTTTGGAAATCTGAAGAGCTATGGCAATTCTTTGTATTATTTATGCAACTTTTCTCTAAATCTGAAATTAGGTCAAAATAAACTAACAAAATTGTGGGGCAGGAGGGATTAAAAAGTTTAATAAAAAAAGTAACAGCGGACATCAAGTATCTTGACAAAGTAAAGCAAAAACTTCCTGAAGGAAGAACCCAAAGTGGTATAGTTGTATACAATTTTCAGGTGTTTGTCTTTCCAAATCATATAAAATATACATATATGATATATATAAAACTACACTTCCTTTATCCTTTTCTCTTTATCCCTCTCTCATATATAAATATATTCCTGCTGAATGGAAATAAGTGTACCCTCTTTTTAGTTCCTAACACCAAAAGACCCTCAGATACCTTTTGCAGTTCCCGTGTCCAAGGCTACGGAGCCCATATCTTTCTGAAGGCGTTCCAGTTGTTCTTTCTGCTGTTGGCTCTGTGCACTAGCCTGTATATATGGAGAAAATGTCATCATATTCAAAAAGGAGCCTCAAATTAGACCCCAGACTTCTAAGTGGACATGAGGAGTTATATAAACACAAGGGTACTTCAACAAGTTTGTGGAAAAAATGGAATTAAAGGTACCACAAATCTATCCATGAACTTTTAAAGTACCCTGTAGTAGAGGCTAAACATTGAGGCAGATAAGGGAAGACTGAAATGAGGACAGAAACACTGAGTTGTGTAAGCTGAGGTTACAGTAGAAGTTTAGACAGGAGGGCTCTGCAGACTGAATTAGAGGATTCAGAAATTGGACAAAAATATCAAAAGAACCCTCAAGTAGACATGGCAGGAAAGCTCAGTGATAAAGGACCCAATGTAGCCTACAGGGGCAGAACATTTTCTCATTTGGGATAACAGCTGTGAACCACCTTTCTATTCTTAAACAAAATTCTACAACTAGCCTTTATTTATTTATTTATTTTTAAAGATGACTGGTAAGGGGATCTTACCCCTTGACTTGGTGTTGTCAGCACCACGCTCTCTCAAGTGAGCTAACTGGCCATCCCTGTATAGGGATCCGAACCCGTTGCCTTGGGCCTTGATGTTATCAGCACCACACTCTCCCAAGTGAGCCACAGGCCAGCCCCTACAACTAGCCTTTAAATTAAACTTGGAGTAGGAGTGGAGGTGGGGCATAAGAAGGGTTTAGTACATATAATGGGAAAAATCTGATTTTTAAAAATTAAAATTCAAAGAGAAGAAAAATAAGGGATCTTTCTGCAACCAGACAACATAGTAGTACATCAATACAAATTTACAAATTTAAATTAAGTACATAGAAGATACATTGTAATTTTATTAGTTAATTATAACTCAATAAAGCTGGAAAAAATTAAATTAAATAAAAGATACACTGATAGACAAACAAAAGCATTTATATCATCAGGATTGAGGCTGTTTTTTTTAATAGCCCTAAAATATATAAACAGCCTTTCTTACCAGTGATTTCTTCAAACGTTCATATTCAGGACGATACTCCCTAGAAAGAGAAACACTTCCTAAATTCCTTTGCTTAAATCTATCCGGCCCACCCCACCCCATCACTTCTATTTTCCTAAGACTCTGACAATATTAAAAGATCTTACTTCACCAAATATTAGATGTTAACAAGTCTCAGTCACTGACAGAGTCGACACCTATGAAATTAAAAGCCAAGGTGTTTGGAACACCAAGGTCAAGGGTTCAGATCCCTGTACCAACCAGCCACCAAAAAACCCCCAAAAAACTAAAATAAAATAAAAGCCAAGGTGCCTGCCCCCACCTTAAAACCAGGAAAGAGACAAAATCCTGACTGCTGAGCTAGGAAGATTAGCACTGGAGAGACCATGACTGAGGAGCTCATCATTCACTTGAAATAAACATTTGAGATGAGTAAAAGAAGATAGGTCTGTTGAGCTCAGGAAGTCCAATATATAACTATGTGGTTTCCTTGAGCAACAACAATGAAAGGATACAGAAAAGAGTCTATCCTGAGGCTTTGATAACACAAAAAAATCCTCTCTGATGAATCAAAATCAAAATCAAAATAATGTGTCTGAAAATCACAATGTGGTTGTTAGGATTGTGCAAAATATGAAGCCAAAGGAGCATGCTTGTCAAGCCATTGGCTTAAGGAGAGTGTACAGGTGCTCTGACTCCACTTCCCTTTAGGTTAATGGAATTCCTATACAAAGAATGACAATAGTTACAACAACCATTTACTATGAAATGTTCTTATTATATGTCAGCAATTGTGCTACGTGCTTTACACATATTTTCTCAAATAATCCTCACAACAACCTTATGCCGAATCCAGCCTGCTGCCTGTTCTTTTTTTTTTTTTTTTTTTTTTTTTTTTTTGTGACCGGCAATGG